TTTTTTAAAATCTTACTGTATCTCATCTTCCATCACGTGATAATTTGTGATTTTTTGTCAACCTTCCCCTCCCCCTGAAAACCCCACGTAACTAATGTACGCCCCCTTATTAGTAACAATTGCAATAAAAATGATATATGAATAATTTATTTTTTATATATTAATACTTTAAAATTTGTCTATTTTCAGTTATGAATATCATCGAATTTCTTGATGCACAAAGAACTAAAAAATGATGATTCTGGAAACAGATTCAAATTGGAAATTGCTACCCCAATTTAGTTAATTGGTACTAGTAGAATACAATTTTTTGCAAGATGATAAGGTAATTAATCTTAGGCATATTTCTATTTTTTCGGATATTCTGAATTTTAGGAGATTGATTTTTTTTTTACAAATCCACTCCAATATGTTCGCATATTTTATAGAATGATTTGCACATGAGTACATATTATACATATATACATTTTTTAAGTAAAAAAGGATATTACTACTGCTTGATATCAGGTTGTCCATAACATTATCTTAAACGTAGCCAGAGACTTACGACAGTGCTACGATCTCCCTAATTTTATAAAAAAAATATTTTCAGTTCAATAATCTATTTAGATCATGGGGACATAATATATTAATAAATTAAAATATAACTTAACATCGTTAAAAAAAAATTAATACATTTTAATATAAAAATGTAAAACATTACACATCCTTGCGAAAAAGTTACCAAATTTATATAAACCTTCATCCATACAGTTTTATATGAAAAAATCGATAAATCCAATATCTCTAAGATATCTCTTTCAGTGTATTTTGGCGAATAGGCACTAATCCGATTATTTATTACCCGCTGCACAGTTTTAGAAGCGCTGTCCATCGCTGATATGGTTTTTATATATAATACAGTGTAAGATGTAGGACTTCCATGCAGAACTTTAGAACGTGTTTTTGAGTCTGAAGTGTCTGACGCGTCGCGATTCGTTTTCGATTATTAATTTTATTTATTACCAATTTATTAATTTAATTTTCCATTATGATCAACAAGTGTTCTGTGATACTAGCTGTACTGTGTTCGATTTTAGGTTCTTCAATTATATCTGCATCAGAATTAGATGGCAAGGTAAGTAGATAATGGATACAGAAGTGCTGATACATTTCTGTTGAAAATTAGAATAAAATTATTATTTTAATACAATAGTGTTAGAAGATGCAATAGTTTTTTTTAGCTACAATCGATTTTATCATATGTAATGAAATTTATAAATAGGAACATGTGATGGTACAGTGCATGGTTCAAATAAGTTATTTTCTTGGATTCAAAGTTTTTCGACCAGTGAAGATGTTTTTGGTTTTGCATGATTCTTGCCAACGAAAGACGATTTGCACTTGAGATTATATTTGAAATCTTAACCTCAAGATGAAATTTGATATCATACTACTTCATATCGATCTGGCTGAAGTTGGAATCAAACCCGGGACTAGTACGTGATAGCCCATGTTTTTCCCTATTTCGAAACATCGTGCCTTAAAGCCAATTGCTAGAACTCCCCGTACCAAAAACTATTTTTTATTTTATTTTTTTTAATTTTGAAAATTTGTTTTTTGTACAATTTTAGATTTTCTTAAAAATTAACCAGCACGACCCCTTATCAATACGAATCTTTGAATTATTTAAATCGGTTAATCGGTGTTTCCGAAATCGTCAACGAAAATTTGTATCCGCACACACACATACATACATACTTACACACGCACACACACATACATCCATTTTTTCTAAGGTATGCTAAAATGTGCAGAAAACTTTGAAACGTAAAGATATATAAAAATTTTTATTTTCGATTTTTTTGTTAATAAAATCTGAAGTTTAGATTTTATTAAAACCGTTCAGATCTGTTTCAATGCAACTGATTACTAATAATAATTAATGCTATGGAATTAATTATTTATTAAAACCTAGTGGCAGACATCAAAATAATCGTTATAAATATATATAACCATAAGTTGAATAATCTGCACAGAATAAACAACAATAAAATTAATGTATTTATTTACTTTGTTTTATAGAGTCATTATATTGGCTGGTTTAGATAATGATATCAAATTTTGTTCTGATTGGGGTTTTCTATTTATTCTGAAAAATCCATATACTAATCCACTAAAATATTTGTGTGTCGTGATAAAATGTATGTTTTATTGTACATTTAATGAATCTTGGCATCACTGATTCTTGTTTCTGATAATTACGAACAAAAGCAAAATTTATCACAGTACATCTCTATAATTACATATTTACATGCGCATAACCGGTGTTAATCTAATCAGGTTAATCTTAATATGGGTTTTTTATAAATTTAATATTGCGTTTTATAATTTGCAATCAGATTTTAATAGGAAGTTAGATATTAATATTTTCATGCATATTTTGTATTGTGGTTTTGAACAGCAATCTGGTCTTAAGAGTCCTATTATGATGATACATGATTGTTTTGGAAGGGTACCCAATGGTTGTTCTATCTCTATATTTGATATAATTTTTTATTAATTTTTTTCTAATAATAATGATATTCCTCTAATTTAATCACGTAATGCCAGAAATGACTATTTTTACTCATTCTTTATTATTCAAATTAAAAATTGATATCACCACAGCTTGACATCAGGTTTGAACCGGAGAATTTGAGATTTGGAAGCCAAGCGTATGAACCCCCATAAAAATAATTAGGATTATATAGTTCATTTATTTTGCTGAGTTTGTTATTATGTGAGCTAATCTTCTGAAAATACATAATTTTCATTGGATGCTCTTCAGGAACTTAAAATCGAAAGTTTAGACTTTGAAGAGCAGATCCTCAAATTTTTGGAAAAGTCAAAAAAATTGATCGACGTAAAAGCTCAATTATTTCTTTCGCGACCTTTCAACATCTTTCTAGGCAAGAACCTAAAGAACTTAAAAAGAACCTAAATTGTGACGTGGATAGTTCCCTTGATAAATAACAAGTATAAATGGATATTTCAGCCGTTTAACTAAAAGCTTATTACATCTTCCTTAAAACATTGTTGTTATCTATTTGGCTATACAACCTTCTGATATATAAAT